AGTTTCATGGCATTCATTAAGGTGCAATCGGGATGGATTGTGCAAACCTTGGGATTTCACTTTCAAATAAATCTGCTGCTTCAGCACCACCATTAGCTGACAATGCAAAGAATCAAGGTGAGGCTAGCAACTCAAGCAAGATAATTCTACATTACTTTTGTTTTTTACTGTCTGATAGTAGTTCCAGCTATGGTTCAATACATAAAGCTCAAATTTGGAGATCCAAAAAATTTAGATAAACAATTATCTTACTCAAAACAGCATGTTCGACTCCCATTTGTGTTGATGATGTACTCTGGAAGACATTAACAACCCGGCTTTTTAAAATCATTTGATTAAAAAGATTGACCAACAACAGGATGGTTCATATTTGACTTTGACACTTTTAGGAGCTAATTTACTCATCAATTTTTAGTTGGATGGCCTCCAACAGCTACATCAAATTGAGTATTATAGTTTTTTTACCTTCGTATTGATGATCACATGTTCACTCCGTTTTGTCTTCGTGTTTTCTCATTTACAGCTAGCTCAATGGTACAAGTAAACTCTCCTACATTGGTGATCCTGATGCTGTTTGCTGCTATGCTTCATTGGAAATAGAGAATTAGTTGTTCCAGGCTGTTTTTCGCACCATACCTTTGAACCCGTGGGTGATTGCTGCGGTATTTATTTGATATCGGTTGACATATTTAGTTAGCTCTCATGTTTGGATATAGATTTTCCGGTCAGATGAATAAGTTACTACACTCATTTTTCACACATAGATAGAGTGAAGAAGATTTTTGTTTGTTTTGTACATAATTGATAACCCTGCTGCGGACTACTGGAATAAGAGACATGAGTTCATGTTTACACTTGGGTTTTTGAACTTCCTTTCATGATATTTGTTTTGGTGGGGAAAGAGACTCCTCTTCTCATATTTGCCTCTGCAGTTGATTGAACCTGATTGCAGGGTCAGATGCCAACCTAGAGCAATTCTAAGGGTAGACTGCAATTTTGAGCTCAGAAGGGACTCTCTTCTACAATGTGGGGGATTTTCGTGAGGGGGTTGAATGAGGGGTTCAATCCAACCATTCAATCATTAAAAAACTTCAAGTATAATATTTTCTCTCTTGTTGGATAGTGGGGATTGAACCCCTCCCACAACCCCCTCATTATAGCATTTCTGGGGACTCTTATATCAACACTTAACTTTATATTTCAGAATGTGTTTGGGTTCAAGTGCACCATGCATGTTCCAATTTGTTTGGGTTCAGTCAACTTCTTCTCTTACATCAGTCCCAGTCATGAAGACCAAGGCCCAAAGTTGCATACTTGCATTAGGCCCAATCAATTTTTAAAGGCCTCTCATTCATTCCATAGGACTGTATTGTTTTGTTTTTTTTTTTATGGCCAGCATACATATGGAAGTTGGCTTGGGATTATAAACGAAAAAAATATATGACTTTTGCATGAACT